ATGTAGCTGTATGTGAATGTAAACGATCTGCAAAGTTGTAAAGCTGAAAGTGCATGATAAATAAAGTTATTGTCTCCCAAAAGAAAGAACCGACTCTGAACAGCTTAATTGAGTCGTCAGTAATTCGAATCCCACTTCTGTGACGGCTACACATAATAACACATTTTGCATAATGCCCGTCTATGTTCTACGTTGGCCGGCCGCGAACAACTTGACCCGTCCTCAAACACTGTAGCTTGTTCATGTCGAGAAGACGCTGTGAAAGTAAATTCGTTTTATTTTTATTTTTCGAAAGATTAGGCTGTAAAGAATCAGTGGTTAAAATGTACTTTTTCCACTGTCCCACAGCAGTACAACCCCAAACTTTTTTTGTGTTCCCGTCATTTTACTGACGACTGCTTCTCTAATCTCAGGGAGTTCAACGCGGGATTCACAAAACGCTTGCTCTTGACAGATGAGCTCAGTACCCAGTTTATTTGGATCAGCTGGCTCCACTGAATCACAACCTGTAAGTATGATAAATTATGTTTACAGATGTTTATATTTTCTATCGAGCGTTCAAAATACGCAACTATGGCAATGGGCGTATCGTTTACGACACGCGCTGTACGCAGTAGACCAATCACAACAGACTGAGCCATCTGACCAATCAGAGCAGAGTAGGCTCAGGGAAAGAGAGAGACTGAATCTTAGAACTGCTTTGAACAAATCGTTTGAGAATCATTGGAAAATGAGGTGATATAAAATGAATATTTTGAGAAAACGAAAGCGTTTTTTGATCTTGCATGCATGTAAACCTATTGTAGGAGACTCCCAGAACAATATTAGGAATCTTAAAAATTGCATAATAGGGGCACTATTAAGATGTGTATTCATGGTGTAAAGAAAAAGTTATCACTTTTTAACTTTTCTTGATATATCAAGTTTTATAAACCATATACAATGACATTAATACATGGGCATGCAATTTTTTTTGTTTCTCTTGTCATTAACTCCTACATCATCTAATTTTCTTTCTGATAGCCACAATATAATATGTACCTGTGAATTATGTTTCTCATATTTAGCTAAAGCAATATTTTTTTATAAAGCAAAATTGTATAGAATGATAATACCTGTTGAAGATCTCAGAGATGCCGTGTTTCCTTTGACTGAGAGTCAGATCTGCGACAGCAACACTTAACACACCAGGGATGTTGTCTGGAGCGCTCTGACGCCGACTGATCTCATAAGTGTTCCTGGGTTTCAGACTCACGTCCGTGAAGATCGAGTCATCAGGTCTATCTGATGTGGAAAAGGTCTCGTCATCATCCGGACTGAGACGAGCAGAGTCAGTGTTGAGGAAAGTGCTAGAGGAAAACGTCCTGAGAGAGTGTTTCGGAGTTGACGGACTGGCTGAAGAGTTCCTATCCAAAGATGGGCCGCCTTCAGAACAACTTCTGGTGTCATTAAACACTGCATTTTGGGCATTTAAACAGTCTTCCGAGCTGGTGGTTCTGTCTACAGCTGCATCTTGAGGTGGTAGCATAGAAGAAATAGCATCCAAAGCACCACCTCTAGAGCCTGCTGAGAGCTCTCCATTTGCAATCACATGATCACCCTCTGAATTCAAGTAGCTTCCTGCAGGAAGAGATGAGTTAGGATCGTCCCACTCAGTCAATTTATGTGCACTGTGGCCTCCATGTCCATTTGGGAGCTTAGTGCCACATGGCTGGGTATTGGTCTTATCACATGACTCTGGAACTTCGTGGTCCTTGATGCTCTGCAATTGGCCTTTCTCTCCCTGCGATGTTCCACTATGGGAGAACATGCCTTGCATTATGCTCTCCTGCCTGTCTATAACATCTGCGATGCGTGGAGGTGGTATGCCTTCCTCGGCACCCCTGCCTCCAGAGGAAGATGACTCCACCATCAGCTTCACAGGAGAAACTACAGAATACCCACAATGCTCGGAGATGACACTGCTCTTCTGGACCCCACTGGGAGGATAACCTAAAAATAAACCAATCTGAAAAGGTGCTTTGAAAAAATACACAGTGAAATATTTTGCTACCTACTGTAGAAGACAGCACTTTAGGGCATGACAGACATGTTTGAAACATTCGAGTCAGTGTTTTGGGTCATCGTTTGGAATGTTTTATTCACTATTTTAGGCATTAAAGATCATAGATGTTTTGGGACATTTGAGTCCGTATTTTAGGGCATTACAGAACATTCAATTCAAGCACTGATTCAGTATTTTAAGCATCACTGGACTTGTTCAATTCAGAGTTTTTGAACATCAGAATGTCTGAAATATTCTATTCAGTATTTTGGGCATCATAATTGCGTTTGTAACGTTTGAATTGAACATTTGATTCAGCAGCTTAGATGGGCATCAGAATAATGTTTTTAACGTTTGATTTGCTAATTTGTTGAATCATTAATTCCATTTGGAACGTTAAATTGGAACATCTAATTCAGATTTTTTTTGAACATCATGATAGAGTTTGGAATGTCTCATTTTAAAAATGAGCTTTGCTGAACATCATAATCACATTTAAAATGTTCGGTGCAGTATTTTGGATGATAGAACATCCCATCTGAGCATTTGATTCAGCATTTTTAGGCCTTGTTGAACTCTAATATTCAGTTGAGTTTTTTTTAACATCATAATGTTTAGAATATTCAGTATTCAGTATCCTGATTCAAACATTCGATTCAGTTTGAAAAGTTCAACTCGGTAATTTGTTACATCATAATTCTATTTGGAACACTGAATCGGAACATCTGATTCAACTTTTTTGAACAACATGCATACTTTCAGAAAGTTCGCTTCAGTACAATCGCATGCGATTCAGTACTTTGGCCATTATTGTACTCGAACGCTCAAATTAAATTTTATGAACAACTTCATAACGTTTGGAATATTCTATAAATCATTTTGGGCATCATAATCATGTTTGTAACATTTGATTCGAACTTTTGATTCCGCAGCCTAGCTGAGCATCAAGAATTAAGCTTGGAAAATATAATTCAACATTTTGTTGCATTTATTCATTTATAACGTTGAATTGGTACATCCAATTCAGATTTTATGGAATACCATAACAGCATTTTTTTTTTTTATTGGAACGATTTAGAATGATCTATTTAGTAATTTAGGGTGTGACAGAACATTACATCCAAGCTTTCGAGTCAGCATTTTAGGGGATCACTGGACTCGAATGTTCACTGAGGGTTGTTTTTTTTTAACATCATAACTTTAAGAATATTCGATTGACTTTTTTGGCATCATAGCCGCGTTTGGAACATTACCAAACATTCGATTTAGTATTTTGGGCACGTTTGTAGCGTTTGAATCGAACATTTGATTCAGCTTTAGATGAAATGAGCATCATCAAGTTCAGAACGTTTGATTCAGCATTTTGAGGTATGACAGGCGCGTCTGGATAAAAATTCAATTCAGAACATTCAACGCGTGTAAAAAGTCTATAAATGCTGTCTAAGTAGCCAGCTCAAAGTTTGAGACACAGATTATGCATTACTGTCAAAACGCATTATAATATATCAGCAAGTGCATCCTGTAACGTTACATACCCATCGGCCGCAGCCCAATTCCTGAGAGCGGCACAAATGACCTCTACTGTAGTCCTCTTTTAAATTATCCAGTGAAGAATGTTGCTATCTCTCATATGATGGAAACATGTATGTTCAAGCTCATCCTCAGTCTTTTCCATCTCGCTCAAAATCCTCTTGTGGTTTGACAGCCGAAGCGCTGCAGTTCAGTGTTGTAGTACTCCGCTCTTCTTTCATCATGACACCTATTCAGACCGTCCTCCAACATATTAACAGGGTAAATATTAAGAGTACGCAAATATCGTGAGTTAACAGACATGGCCGTTAAAACATCAACGCTTTCCCGTCTCAGACCGGCAGCTGACCGTATCCTGACCGTGATTCGAAGCCATCTTGAAATTCCAGTGACGTCATTCGACGCGTTACTAACAGGAGAATCCACGCGCCCCCTGCTGGACATATTCAACAACATGCATTTAGATGACGCAGGCTGCACATATAAATAATGTACTGCACAGACACAGTAGACACGCACAGATCAAATGATTGCACAACTGCAGAATTATTTGTTAATCTCACATTAAATTGTGCTTCACAACTTTAAATTTCACATACAAATACATCTGTTCACAGCAGGCCGAAACTAGTCACTTTTAATTTACCACAAAAAAAATTATTATTATAAAATAAATTAATTTTTTTATATATATATATATATATGAAAAACATTTACTGCAACATATTGTTTATGCAAAAAGCTATTGTGAAACACAAAATAACTCGTGAAAAAGCAAACTTGTAAAAGCTCAAATACACTAACTATTATAACTATTATGAGCTATATAAAACGTGTGACAGCTTGCTTGACATTTATCAAATCTACTTTCACTTGATGTATCCTAATGTGATTTCATTGTGTTCATTTGTTCACACTACAACTACAAAAATACAATGATCAATTTGAGTTTGGAGCACAGAATTTTAGATTGATCTATAGATAGATAGATTTATTCATTTGGCAGACGCTTTTATCCAAAGCGACTTATAGTTGAGGAATAGCTACAACAAGCCATTTTCCATAAGATAGATAGATAGATAGATAGATAGATAGATAGATAGATAGATAGAACCATGTTGTAATTGAGGTAGAGATGCTTTCTATGTCTTTTAGAATTTTCTTTAACTCAGTGAGCGCACTCACTCTCAGTTATGTCGTACTCCTCTCTCTCTCTCTCTCTGTGGCAGACTCGAGGTTTTCAGCAGAGAGAGCGCTGCCCCTTTATTCCCTCTTACGCGCTGCTATTCAGCAGGAGCACGGTGGCACTTTGCAGAAAGAAGACATCGAGACCTTTCGGAAAAGAACTTCACTGGAAAACGGAGAAACTGTGACGTGAGGAGCCACCTGAATATGATCTATCAGATCTGGGTCCAGAGGAAGCCCCATGGAGAGCGATGGTGCTGAAAGGGACAGCTCCGGTGTGGGTGTCCGCGCGCTGACGGGCTGCGCTCTCTGCGCGCTCATCCTCTCCACGCTGCTGGGGAACACGCTGGTGTGCGCCGCCGTCATCAAATTCAGACACCTCCGATCCAAAGTCACTAATTTCTTCGTCATATCCCTAGCAGTTTCGGATCTCTTCGTGGCTGTTCTGGTCATGCCGTGGAAGGCTGTCTCTGAGGTGGCCGGCTGTTGGCTCTTCGGGAGCTTTTGTGACACTTGGATAGCTTTCGATATCATGTGCTCAACGGCGTCTATACTCAACCTGTGCATCATCAGTTTGGACAGATACTGGGCCATCTCAAGCCCGTTCCGTTACGAGCGTAAAATGACCCAGAGGATAGCGTTTATAATGATCGGGATGGCGTGGACACTTTCCGTCCTGATCTCTTTCATTCCGGTCAGACTGAACTGGCACAGGGCTGAGGATCATAACACGCCCTTAAACCTCACTTTCAGTTCGGAGGACTGCACTGCGACTTTAAACAGGACTTATGCTATTGCATCTTCACTTATAAGCTTTTACATCCCTGTTGTAATCATGATAGGAACATATACGCGGATCTACCGAATCGCGCAAACGCAGATCCGGAGGATCTCCACTTTGGAGAGGGCGGCCGGGCACATGCACGACTGCGCGAGCGAGCAGTCGCTGAAAACCACGTTTAAGAAAGAAACGAAGGTGTTAAAAACGCTTTCCATCATCATGGGGGTGTTTGTGTTCTGCTGGCTGCCCTTTTTCGTCCTCAACTGCATCGTGCCGTTCTGTGACCTGGACACTCTTGGAGACTCTCTGTGCGTGAGCAGCACCACTTTTAACATCTTCGTGTGGTTCGGATGGGCCAATTCATCGCTCAACCCGGTCATCTACGCGTTCAACGCGGATTTCCGCAAAGCCTTCACCACTATTCTGGGTTGCAATCGACTCTGCGCATCTTCTGCTGTGGAGACAGTGAACTTCACCAACGAGCTGGTGTCCTACCATCACGACACCACTCAGCTCCACAAGGACGCGCAAGACGCTTCCAACCCCCAGTGCCTGGTTCTGGTCCCCGGTCATGGCGAGCACGTGGACTTACCTTTTGACAAGGTCTCGGTCGTGTCCGATTCGTCTCGTATCCAGCGGAACGTGCTGCTGCCCGCCCTAGAGCAGCAGGAGGGAGAGATGGAGATTTCTCTGGACCTGATGCCCTTCACCTCCACAACACTGAGCGACTGCTGCGGGATTCCAGGTCAAATTGAGGAGTGTTGATCTCATTTAATTTCATACGAACCTTTTTATAGCATCAGAATTAATATGCATAGGACATGATGCATTCGTATACCACTCAAAAAATATTTAGGCCTAAATTTAAGAAATAAGCATTTGAATTGCATAAAAAATCCCTATCCATTTGGACTACACAGTTTGAACATAAACATGAACTAATACATGTAACTAATGTAATTAATGAAACAGGTGGTCTAAGACTTATTTCAGTCCAAAACTTATTATTAACTATTTGCTTCCATTTGATTTTATTTAAATATTCATATTTTAATGTATGTGTTGAAATAGCTTCAGCACCATAGTATCGTAGAATCAGTTTAATTTAAACATTTAAAATATATGAGCATGTTTAAAATATGGTGGAAAATACTGAGTTATGAGATTGCAAGATTATATGAGATTGCAAGAAATTATTGATTATACATAAACCTGGTTGTGTATTTAAAACACATTCAGTTAATTATTGAAATGGTACCTGTTTCTCAGAATAATTTGAAACTGATATTTTAGGGTAAAACACTTTGTCGGAATAAATTTAGGCCTACATATTTTCTGAGTCCTTATCAATCTCAGTAATCACAAAAAGTGAAATTTCAATTATAATATTTTATTGAAGTAATCTTTATTAATTTTCAAAGAAATTGAAAGTTGGGGTCCAAAAGTGTGAAACCATAGTGAAATGCAAAATTAGAATTTTATAAGAAATAATATTTATCCACATTTTGAATAAAAGGTTGAATGGAAAAAATGATTGTGAAAACCTGATGATCATATTCAACAGCTTCATGGTTTGAGAAAGATCCAAAACATCTTATGCTTCAACGAAAGCAAGAACATCTCACCGTCTGTAAGAAGTCACATGATCAGTGTCACACATTTGATTTTCTTATTTGACCTTATGTGACCAAGAAATAGAGCAGAACCAATGTTTCAGTATTTCTTATCCATTTCCCCCCCAAAAATTGTTTATTTCAAGGTTTTTTATTAGATTTTGAATACAAGATTTTGAATGTGCATGGTCTCAGAATTTTGGAGCCCAACTGAAGGCGACATAAACATGTTGCTTTATATTTCCAGACACTGCTGGTTATCCTACTTTAGGTGTACAGCTGGTGTCACAATGTATTATGAATATGCTTTAGAAGTATAATAAGAAATGTTATTCCCCAAATACACACAAGAGCCGTATCATTACATACTGACCTGAAAAAGAACAGTTAATAAAAATGTCAATCTGTGCCTCTTTGAGACAAAACAACACAAGATGAGCTTATAAGTCATTTCACAACATTGTCTGAAAATAACTGACCACAATATTCTGTTATTCATGTTTTTGAAACAGATCACATCCAATACTGTATCATCATAATGCTGTGTACTGCACACAACTGCTATAAATACTATTATAAAACGCTTAGCAGAAAATACATTTCTGCCATATTAAAAGATTTGATAAAACAAAACGGGGAAAAAAAGCTTTGAGTGGGTCTTTGTTGTGTTTAGATGCAAATCTGAAGAGGCTTGTTAGAGATAATTGCTCACTTAATTACTACAGTTATTAAGAGATGAAGTATGATGTAATAGGTGCCACTTGGGAGCAAAAAAGAAGATAAAGGAAATTTCAAGCCTCTAATCAATGAAACCTGCATACACACACACACACACACCCTCCAAGTAATTTTCGTGAAAACTTTGAGGGCACAGTGCCCCGTGTAAACTCTTGAACTTAGACGAAAAAGCTATTAGTTCGACAAATTATTCATGTTGCAGTTCCATTTTTTTGTTCAAGGTAATGGCTGCTTGTGACGAGGAAGGGTTTAGGAACAAGCACAAGGAGAAAAAAAAAGCTGGGACAAAAGTAATAGGATGCTAAATTTACCTTCACACAATATAAGTGAAATGACTATTTGCTGAGAGTGCGTTTCAGATTACAGTAGTCCCTGAAAATACAAGTAAATGCACTGAGTGATCACTCCAAATGAAAGGAGTATTTCTTCCAAAAATTTAAATTTGCTAAAAATGTACTCTCCAAGCAGTAGATGAGTTTGTTACTTAATTAGGATAAATGTAGCATTCCATCACTTGCTCACCAATGGATGCTCACTGCAGAGGATCCATTGGTGAGCAAGTGATGGAATGCTACATTTATCCTAATCTGTTCAAAAGAATAAACAAACAAACTCATCTACATCTTGGATGGTCTGAGGGTGAGTACATTTTCAGCAAATTTTTTATCTTTGGGTGAAGAATTCCTTTACGCCACATTATTTATGTCACATCCAGAAAGTAGTAGTTGTTGTTGATTTCTAAAACATGCATGCGGTTTGATGCTATATTTAAGGCATGCAACAAAATTACACCATGCGCACACAAAATCCCAAAATATAAAATCTGTTTTGATGTGCACTTCAAGCAATCTTGAGTGATGTTCTGTAAGGCAAACCTGCTACAAAACTTATTTTGTGTCAACACACACAGCTTTGAAAGCTATTATTTGTTCATATGGAAGAAGAAGTTGGGGCTGGAAGAGCAATTGCCTGAAAGCCTCTGTGGTTGACTGAAATTGCTGAGTTGAAATAGTGTGAACAGCAAAACAAGTAATGGGGAAAAAAAACTTACTTTTCACTCTTTCAACACAACTTGTATGAAAAAAAAGACAAAACAAGCCCGTTTTGAATTTAAAATCTGGTAAACATTAAAGCAATGGAAGTTTTTTTTTTTTTACCTCACACACAAAAAAACCTTATTGTAAAGTGTTACCATTAATATTATATTAATATCTTAGATTCTAATCTAATCTAACAATTTTGTTAGATCAACTACTGTACCTCAATGTTTATGCATTAGCCCTGTTGTACAATGACTACTGTATTCATATTATAAAAAACAATATAATTCATGTTTGTAAAGAATGACTGTAAAATGCACAAACAGGTTCTTTTAAGCAATAAACCACATTTAAATGTAGTGCACTGTTTGTGTCAGAATTTTAGGCAGTTGAATGTGAAGAAAGCCTCGTTCAGACAGCACTATACTGTAATGGATTTGGAAGTGCATCATGATCCCCAATATAGGGGCAAAATTGGATGAGAAAGCCTTTGTGAGAACTGATGCATCTGCCATCAACAGGCACTTAATATTTACGCTCAAGGTTATTATTCTTATGAATGGTGTAAACACAATATATCAGAATATAAAAGGTTATTAAACTCTCATAACACTGAAGCTCTTTTGCCAAATGAAGAAGTGCTCAGGGAATCTCAGCAGCAGCAGAGGCATTCATATTATTCCATCCTGACTCAAACACCACATGACACGAATCACAGGAAAGGGAACGTCAATTATTTAGGTATTTGAGGTATTTTTACCAGTATTTATGTGACATTCTCAGGACAATGTGGCAAAGATACATACAGTATTTCACTTCAGTAATGAGAATTTGTCAAGATGTCACACATCAACAATCCATTGTGCAACTTTTGTGTGACTTGATCTGTAAGTGACCTGAGCCAATTTTGGTTAAGATTGTGCAAATGAATAAGTATGCAAAGAGTTGACAAATTATGTAATCTATTTTTTTATGTATTACATAAGAACAATTTGGTATTCAAAAGGTTTTGAATAACTTTTTTTATATATAAATTTGGTCAAAAACTGGAGGAAGAGTTTATAAAAGTATGTTTTCAATAGAATTCAAAGTAGGAAGTCGAGTGGAAATTGAAACCACCATGCCATTGTAATAAACATGACTCAAAACATTTACAGGTTTTTACAATTGCTAGGACCCATTTCTCCAAACTCCTTACATAATTGTCCTTACCAACTCTCAGCTTGGCAGCAATAAATGTATCATCTAAAATGCACTAAAACTACCAAAATACTTCATAAGTGTCTCAAATGAAGTCACTCAAATCAAAACACTAGCAAAGCTTGTCAACAGACACACTTTGTCACTCATAAAACAATAACCTAAAAACTAACAACAGGTAGCATTATACAATACATTAACTTTAAAACAGTTTTGTTTCTGGGTCAATTTGTTCAAGTTATATGCTAAAAATAAAATATAACTGCAAGCAGTGATGATGGGATCCAAGCCACTGGCAGCACCGCCACCCCGGTGGTATCAGGAAAACGGTGCACAGCGGGCACATGCATTTACAGTAAGTAACCCTCTGGCAGTCTGGTTTTAAGGGTTACAGTAATGAAAGGGTTAAACTATAAAATCAAGAGCATGAAACACACACATACACACACACACACACACACACACACACACACACACACACACACACACACACACACACAGTAACAAAGTTTCATTTGTTAACATTAATTTACTATATTAGTTAACATGAACAATATTTATATAGCATTTATTAATCTTAGTTAACACATTATTAATTACAATTTAAAGCTGTTAACATTAGTTAATGTACTGTGAACTAACATGAACATTTTTATTAACTAACATTAACAAAGATTAAAAATACTGCAGAAATATATTGTTCATTGTTAGTTCATGTTAGTTAATGCATTAACTAATGTTAATAAACTACACCTTATTGCAAAGTGTTATCAAAACTTTTAATGATCTATAATTTTTTAAAATTATTTTAATGATCTTTAAGCATTTGTGAAATAATTATATAAAATATATTACCCGTACATTACATATTAACTTATTCTATGTATTGATTTGTCATTCTAATTAATGGAAGCTGAGTAGTATATGATTAGGCTTAAAAGATGTATTATCCTATGAAAATTTAAAGTTGTATCTGTTAACATTAGTTAATGTACTGTGAACTAATTTGAACATGAATATTTTTATTAACTAACATTAACAATGATTAATAAATGCTGTAAAAATTTATTGTTCATTGTTAGTTCATGTTAGCTAACTGATGTTAACAAAATAGACCTTATTGTAAAGTGTTACCAAAACTTTTAATTTCAGCTCATGAAAAATGGGGGCAAAA